TGAATAAGGGTTCCAGTTTCTCCACAACCTCACCAGCATTTGTTGCTTGCTGTTCTGTTATATTTTGCTGTTTTGACTGGGGTGAGATGGTATCTCATAGTTGTTTTATCTTTTAACTTCCTGATGGCTTTTACCGTGGAAGTTGATTTGTGGATTCAAGTAAAATGAAATCGTTGATCACTTCATCTTTTCTCCATCTACCATAATGTTGCCTACTGGCCCAGTGGTGAGGATTTTTGTTTTCTTGATGTTGACATATAATTCATATTGAAAGCAGTAGTCTTCGATCATCAATAAATACTTCAAGTCTTCTTTCTGCAAGTAACATTGTGTCATCTGCATAATGTAGGCTGTTAATGAGTCTTTTTCCAATCATGATGTCACATTCTTCTTCATATTGCCCAGCTTTTCTTAATATTACCCAGATTATTTGCTCAGCAAAGTGAATATGGGAAAGGATACACCTCTGACACACACCTTTTCTGATTTTAAACCATGAAATATCCCCTGGTTTTGCTTAAACAATTGTTTCGTGGTCTAAGTACAAGTTTGGTGTAAACACATTCTTTGGAATTCTCATTCTTCACAATGCTACCAGTAATTTACTATGATCCACACAGTCAAATGCCTCTGCACAGTCAATAAAACACAAGTAAATACCTTTCCTGTATTCTATGCTTTTAGTCCGGGTCCATCCATCTGATACCAATAATGCTATCCCTTATCTCAAGGTTTCTTCTGAATCTAGCTTGAATTTCTGGCAGTTTGCTGTCAATGTACTGCTCTAGAAATTAAAAAAAAATTTTTTAATTTTATTATTTTTTGTGTGTGTATCATCAAATCGAATCTGACTGGTACAGGAGGAGATTGCCCCTCCTTCTCCAGTAGAGGGTCTGGTGGATTCGAACCACATAACTCTGGGATTGCAGTACAGCTTCTTGCCACTAGGCTACCAGATCTCCCTTTAAATTGTGATATTAAGGAAAGGTTGGGTTTTCATTCATTCACTGTTGCACATTTTCCTCCCTTCTGCCTCCCCCAGTCCACTCTGCAATGCACCTCTTGTGACAGATTTTTGTCTTACACATAATGCCTAATCATATATTTCTTTCAGACATTTCCTCCCCTCATCCATTCCAATGCTGTGTTCATTATCTATCATGGTCTGGACAGTTTTGAGTAATCATCAACAAAATTTTACTTGCATTTGATATTGTCTGATAATTTTCACACTGTTGGACCACCTTTGTTTTTTTGTTGTTTTGTTTGGTGGTGTTTTGTGTGTGTGTGTGTGTGTGTGTTTTCCTTCATAAGAACAAATACAGATCTCTTCCAGTCAGCTGGTCAGGTAACTCTTCCAAATTTCTTGGCATACACTAGTAAATACATCTAGGGATACCTCTGTTTGCTGAAAACACTTCAAGTGGTATATCAAGTCCTTGAACCTTATTTTTTTGCCAATGCCTTCAGTACAGCCTGGACTACTTCTTCAAGTTTTGTTGGTTCTTGATCATATGCTACTTTCTGAGGTGGTACAGTGTTGACAAATTCTTTTTGGCTCAGTAACTGCTCTGTATTTCTTCCATCTTCTTTTTTTTTT